TCATATCATAAAAACCCATAAGTCATATGTCTCAAAAACATGTCATAGGATAATAATGTCAGAGTACAAATCTCAAGAATATCATAATGCGAAAAATCATGGTGTGATGCGCTGCAGTCATGCCGAGTCCTTTCCTTTCGAAGAAGTAGTACCTGAAACCAAAACTGTAAACCGTAAGCACGAAGCTTAGTGAGTTCCCCCATCATACCACATATCATACAGTAAGCATACTGCCTAGCATATCCGGGTGCTGGCCTACCCTTTCGGTCTCTTTCAACCGGTAACTGCCTAACATATCAAGGTGTTGGCCTACCCCTTCGGTCATTTCAACCGGTAACTGCCTAGCATATCAGGGTGTTTGGCCTACCCCTTCGGTCCTTTCGACCGGTAGCTGCCTAGCATATCAGGGTTCTAGCCTACCCCTTCGGTCCTTTCGACTGGTAACGGGGTCTATCCCACCCCTCCTACCACTATCACATAATATCATAGCATACTAGCACATAAAGCATAACAGATAGTGGCATACCAGACAATTATCATAAAGACAATCATCTCTACTATAATCACCTACTAGTAGGCCGACATTGGTGCCTTAGACCCACTTCTACTGGAAGGTAACTCACCTCGATAACTGGAAGCAACTGCAAAAACTCCGTCTCCAGATATCACCCGACCTAAGCCCCTATACATAGAAGATTTCCTTTAATTCCTTTTTCATACTTATCACCCCTTAAGGGTCAACTTTGGTCAAAGTCCAAATCAAAGTCAACATTCTGGTCAAAGTCAACGTTCTGGGTTGACTCAACTCGCCGAGTTGGTCCATCAACTCGTCGAGTTCCATGAATCATAAAACCCTGTAATCGCGATCCAACTCGTCGAGTTCTTTCACGAACTCGTCGAGTTTCTCCTATCAACAGAAACGAGACTTCCCCAAATTAGCCCGCCGAGCCTGTCCTTGAACTCGTCGAGTCCTTCCTTTTACAGGATCGGGACACCCCGACCCAACTCGTCGAGTTCTTCAGTCTGTTAAGCTTTCTTAATGGATTAAGTCACTAATCTTCATATCTTAGCTCCATCTTTAGATATAGACTGGAAATGTCCTTAGAAGGGTAAAGTTTCCAACTTTACCCGTTAATACTCTTCCTCAAGTTATATAGCTCAAACCCTAACTCTAAAATGTCTAGATCTTGTTCCAAAAGCCATCTATATTTTGAGATAGGGTGTACAAATAGAGATATGGACCTTAGATACTAGATGCATACGTAAAGCCTTCAACTTTCTCTTCACGCATGGCCCTTTGGAGCTTAAAAGGCCAAAATGGTAGTCTAAAGGTTGCATGGGGCTTCTATGGCCATAAAGTTTTCACCTTTATGCAATGCAAGCCCTTCAAGACCCTAGATCTGAAAGGGTATTCACTTGGGACGTCCAAGTCCCAAAAGCTAACATTCTTGGACCAAAATATGGAGGAAATGCCCTAAAACTATATCTAAGCATATAATAGACAAGATAGGAGCTTTATACCTTTGATGAACCAGAAATGAAGCTAGACTTCTGGATCTACTCTTTTCAGCACTTCCTTGCTCCTTCTTCAAGTATCATCTTCTTAAAAACCAAAAAAAATGCACCAAGAATGGCTCAAAACTCTCAAAAGTGTATTAGGGTTTCGTGGCTAGGGTTTAGGACGATGGAGGCTGCAAATGAGGCCAACTTTTGGAGGTTAAGGTGTTTAAATAGGGTGCAAAACCCTGAAAATTAGGGTTTCATTCTACCACTCCTACTCGTCGAGTTGAGGCTCTCAACTCGTCGAGTAGACTTCCCATCCCGCGTCCAATTTCCATCCCTACTCGACGAGTTTGGGGCCTCCAACTCGTCGAGTTTCTATACAAAAACCAATAAATTTTGAATTAAATACATACCAGGAATCGGACGTTACAGAAATAGAATTTCGGTTGAAGATACGCATGGAAGAAATCGTAGTGGAGTCTAGGAAATTTGTTGTATACAATTGCTTGGACACGTCTTTATATGTTAAATTGCTTTTGTGATTTTTAAGAATAGTAACTTAGGAACTGCAGGAAGAAAGAAAAGAGAAAAAAATATGATGATAGTGGGTTGGATAGGTTGGGAGGGAAACATTCCCTCCTCCTTTAGTGGGGATTTAGTGTGGTTTTAAATATAATCAATGTCTTGTCTCACAAATACTTATAGTTTTACAATTTGTACTTTTTGATAGGATGTAAATACTAAGATTTAATGAAAAAAATTTATTGGAGTAAAAACTGAGTAAGACAAGTTTTACCAAAACCCGTTAGACCGCTTATGTCTTTGAAACCCAAAAAATTGATTAAAACTGGTTAGGTTTTAACCTAAACCAATATATAAATAAAGCAAACAAGTTTAAAAAAAATTTCGTTTTGATTTTAACAAGCAAATGTGCACCTCTACTCCATAGATAAAGCATTTTTTTTCATTTCTCATCGGTTTACATTATATTTTATGTTAAAATCTCTCTCAATCTAACACTTTATTTTCACAATAGCTCTATTTTTGTTGTGAATGATTTTTGAAGATTCTCAACACAAATACTTTAAACAAAACGTTTTTTCCGACTAAAAACCTATGATTTTCGTATTTAGCAGGTCATGCATGCGAAATTATCTGACTTTTTTTAGGTCAAAACAACAATCTAAAGCTCTTTTTGTTGTGAAAAATGTCACTCTGAGTTCTGGTGAGTACGATATTTCGGAAATAGGCTATATATATGGGGGACCACATAACCGGTCGGGTACACGGTCGAAATCGAGTTCGGAATATCCTATTCCAGACATGTTGGTTATTTAAAAAATGGTTATTTTCTTAAGTATTACATTAAAAATTGGTTAGTTTAATCAGTGACGTAGCTAAGATTTTGTTTTAGGGTAGACCAAATAATTTACAAAATATGAACGATTAGCAGAATACTAGAAATGATAACAAAATGTAACAACATATGCATTCTAAAGTAAAATATTATTCATTTAAGTTGCACACAACGCTCTCTTATTATTTTAAGATACTTGATTATCCATTTCTGTTGTGGTTTTCTTTTCACCTCTTGGTAAATCATTATGCGTAAAAACGAATCTAATCTTTTCTGCTTTGTTCCCATTGCTCAACAAAATTCATTAATCACAAAAAATTTCAATTACAAACATACTATTAAATTCTTATATAAAACAAAATTATATGTAATACAATAATACAAATAATTAATTCATTGCAACAAGTAATAACCTAATTTATTAGAGACCTTCGATAAAAGTATAAAATCAATACAAACCTAAATTGGTAAGAAATAAGTCAACTTAAATTGTGTATGAAGAAAATAAAAACAAGTAATTAAGTAATTATCTTATTATACTAACCTCGAATTATTCATAGTGAAATTGATATCTACCTTAATAAATGAAGATCTATTTTGCCACATGTCAATTTTTCATAAGTTTTGTCACTTGTAATTTTGTGCTATTTTTGAAATAAATAATATCTACATGTCAAATTTCTAGGTTTTTTTAATTTTTAAAATTAAAAAGCCACATAATACATATAGTTATATAAGTAAAGTATTAAATGTAATAAATATGATTATAAATTGCAATAAATATTTTTTTTCATTCCTTATTTTAAAATTTAATTTTAAAAAATACATAATATTTACACTTTGATATTTAATTTTTTTATTTAACTCATATAATATATGAATCTCATATCCAGTAAGCCTCAAATGTTTAATAGGTAAAGTATGCTTTTTCAATTTCATGTGTTTTGTTATGGGTAGGTCATATGAAGCCCTAATTCTTCTTCTTAACAAGTATAGAACTCAAATTACTTGGGTGGGCCAAACGTTACATCCATATGGCTAGACCACTGGGTTTAATCATTATCCTCTATATATATATATATATATATATATATATATATATATATATATATATATATATATATATATATATATATATATATATATATATATATATTATATATATATATGACCATAGAAAAGGCTTATAACCATATAAAAGGTATTTTTATGAAAATTATAAACGGAATCTATACTTACCAATGCAAACAAACAATCTTTCATTCAGCTTCCTCAACGAATCGAATCTTTACTTCCGGAATCTATATTTCCCTCTAACACAATTTAGGATCATTAATAATATGTTTGTCAATTAAAAACAATAATAAAGTGGCGTATATGGAAGCAAAATTAGCAACCCTCAACAAAATTAAACGCATACTTTAGTACTAATTTACATTTATTTACTTGAAATTTGCACTAATTAAATCAACATTTTTGGCTGTAAATTGGTTCTGAAAGCCGTTCATGTTCTTAGATATAAACAAGTCAAAAGTTTTAATAGGTTTCATCCATACATACCCATGTTGTAATTGTATAACAAAACATATATAATTAGGCGCAAATATTGTTAGAATGAGATAATCAAACGAGTTCATAAACCCTAGATCATGCAAAAGTGGTGGACATGAAGCATGACACACAATGGGCTTTTGGTGTTTTCCGATTAATTAGTTGAATCATGTCTTTATCAATCTTGTAATCACATTTGTAACTAAAAAAATCACATTCAAAACTCACTCCCACCTTTTTAATCCCAACTAAAATCAATAATTTAAGCTTTCAATTAGTTTAATAACTAATGTTTAACCAAATTATCCACCCAATATGAACCTATTTCCAGTCTCTCTCATCCAAATAGGTGAGCTACTAATTATTGTATTTTTTAAAAGATGATTTTTCCGTTGATCGGTTCATGATTTCAGAGTATATGTCATTTGATCATGAAAATTAGTTAATTAGAGCATGCTTTTCTCGCCTTTTCTTCGACTTACCCATTGTTACTTCTTTTAAGTTCATCATCTTTGAGCCATTTCTATCATTAGAAAATATTACCCACAATGCAGTCTCCTTTCTTTTTGGGTGACTTTTGATCTAGATCATGGTGAGACCTCCGTGTTGTGATAAGTTAAGTATGAGGAAAGGGTCATGGAACGAAGAAGATGATGCACAAATGCTCGCCTTTGTATCCAAACAACCAACAACTAATTGGCAAGCAGGGGCTCCCAAGAAACCAGGTGATCATCATATGATACATACTATCATTTTATAATAGTTTTCAACAATATATTATGTTTGATTGCTATATATATATTAAAGGTTTTAATTTTGTGTTCTTGTGGTGCGAGAAAAAAGGTTTAAGAAGGTGTGGAAAGAGTTGTAGGTTAAGGAAAACAAATGTTGCAACGAATGATCATATCAGGCATCAAAGCTTTACACAACAAGAAGAGGAGTTGATCATCAAGCTTCATTCCGCCATTGGTAGCAGGTTCATATATATTCCTTCTTCTATATTTCCCTGTAGTGTGTGATTTCTGTAATGGAGTATATATATCTTTGTTCACAATAATTCATGCATGCAACTTGTGTTTGTATAGATGGCCTATAATAGCACAACAACTCCCAGGAAGAACAGATAATGATGTGAAGAACTACTGGAACACCAAACTAAAGAAGAAGCTATCAGCAATGGGGATCGATCCAGTCACTCACAGGCCTTTCTCTCAAATGCTTGCTGACTATGGCAGCATCAGTGGACTCACAAGAAACCAAACCAGAATGGGTTCACTCAATCGAGACAACAACAACACATTCTTCATCTCGAATCAAGAAAATCATGTATTCCAACAATCCCCAACAGAATCATTTTTCCCTAATTTCAACAACAACAACAACAACGTCAAAATGGAACCACCGGAAGTTGTAATCAAATCCGATTCACTCGATCTTCTAACTCAGCTTCAAGCCATCACACATGTCAAAGACTCTTCAACCAACCATGGAATCGGAATCTCTCTGACGCAATTCCATGTCTCGGTGGCGTCATCATCGTCGTCGTCTTCAAGTACCTGTTCGACTTTGAATGAAATGACGACCCCACAACAGACGTTTAACTGGCGCGACTTTCTGATCGAGAATGGGCAAGATGGAGACGAGAAATTGAACTTGGAAGCCATGGGAGGGGTTGAGGTGGTTAAGTGTAATACGCCATTGTTGATGAATGGTGTTAAAGAAAGTATAGAAGAAGGTTGTGATGGATCGTTTGTGGAGGCGATGCTGGATGGATCGGAAAACGATATGCTGTTGGACTTTCCGGGGCTTTTGGGTGAACCATCTTATTGATTTGACTTTTAGTTTGACTTTTCAAATTTTAGAATAATGGCTTGTTCCATCGTCCATGTAGGAAGAAACAATGAGTCTGAATATGGTTTACTAGTAAGATGTATTTGATTGGAAGTTTAAGGTGAACTTAGGAAGAAACAATGAGTCTGAATATGGTTTACTAGTAAGATGTATTTGATTGGAAGTTTAAGGTGAACTTAGGATGAGCTCCCAACCCACAAACCCGGTTTAAAATCAGAACCGGTATAAGCTTAAAGTGGGCCGGATATCGGATATTAATATAAGCCTAAAACAGGTATCGGGTATACTTGGTTGGGGAAAATGGGTAAAGAGAACCGGACTAGGAAAAACTTGAAAAATTAAAAAGTTTCAACTTTGATACCATGATTTCGGAAGACTGTAACTCATTTAGTATGGAACCAACAATAATGAAATTATAACCTAAATTGAAGTACAAACTATAAAATACATGTTGGAAAATATTTCACGTTAATTAGACTTCAAACGAATGAGTTATGCAATTTTTAAAAATTTCACAGATTACACATTACCAGTTCTAGATCCACTTAACCGGGATCCACCCTACCCGTTTTGATATTTCTGGGTTTTCCAGCTCGACACCCATTTTACACGGTCTCGTACCTTGATCGGTTCCTATATACCAATCTAGTTTTGATTTAACTAAATCATGTTTTCCGGGTTTTCAGGGGTCATTTAGGTTGGGTTCGGACCCGTTTAACTAGTATTTTTTTCCTCATAAATTAGGATTTTGATGATTGAATAATTATAATTATAATAATGAAAAAATGTAACTTTTTTATAAGATATTAGTTAATATTTACTTATCATTTTATAGTAAATTTTTATTATAAAATCGGAATTATTTTTTAAATTAAAGTGTTTTGAAGTAGCTACAACAATAATATTTTATATATTTATAGTAATTGAAGCTATTATTATCTAAAATTAAGAAATATTCATGTGATAGTATTATTCTTTTATTAACTTTTTGACTTTGTTTTTCATTTTGATTGTAAATTGATTTTTTTTTACCTTTTCTAAATTTAAATTTCGATCAACCAAACCATTTGTATATGTTAACAATTAGTTTTGATTTTAAATAATGGAACCAAATATTTCTTTTTCAACTCAACTGATGAAGCATGCACTTCTACTACCAAAAGTGATCACTAATATATAAGCATATAAACAAAACAATATTTAAATATTCAAAAACATGAACTTTAATGATTTTATGAAAAATTATAATATACTTTAATTATCTTTTGTTACAACCTTTTATTTGTTAAATATGGTGATGGTTAAAGTAATTTAACAAGAATAAATAAATTTTAGTTTTAAAATAAACCAAAATAAAAAAAATGTTACTCCTATTATTTTAGAAAGCTATAAATTAATTTGATTACGCCTTTAAAAACCGTGAAACTGAAAACCAACACATTACACATTCGGTCGAAAGGCGTGGCGGATACCCGACCCGTTTAAAAGGACTGTTAGAAGGGGAATCAGAGACAGCGAAGGAGAAAGACGATCCCAGAAAAAATGGTTGCGATTTCGCTTTACAAAGGGAAGCTCCACCGGAGCCCTGACGTTCCCCACCAATGGCTAGTGCCCACCCCCAAAATCTCTCCTAAGGATTTCAAGAATCTCCTCCAACGCCGTTCCAGAGCCCTTTCTCGCCTCGAGTCCACTACCCCGAACCCTAACCCTAACCCTAATGAGAATTCTGTTGAGGATGCTACTTCCGATGATAGAGAACCACCTGAATCCGACGGACCTGCTGTGGAAGATGTCTCCAAAGACGAGGAAGCATCAAAGGTTAATGACGATAAAACATTTGATGACGAATTGGTGAAATCAAATCATGCAGATCAAGAAGCAAACGGTCAGAAAGAATCAAAGGTCGGCGATGAAGATGAGACTTTAGTGATTCCTGGTGAACAATTAGTGGCAGTTGATGATGCTAAAGCTGTTGTTGATGTCCCGGAAAACGCCTTAAATGCTGTGGATGACCTTCAAGAGGAAGGGAAAACGGATGCTCAACATCAGTTAGAGGTATTAATCGGTTCTTGCTATGGATTGTTTATCATTGTTGAGAATTGAAACGAATGACTTTAACTACTAGTATTTTTGCCTACCAGCCACTTAAGAACGTTACACTGAGTGATATAGAGAAAAGGAAAAAGGAGGTTGAAGAGAAGTTGCAGATCCTGAATGCAAGGAAGCATAATCTGGTACAAGTTCTGAAACAGGTGAGTATACTGTATATGTTCCTTTCTTATTTGATAACCTCACCATAATTCTTTATTCTAACAAAATTCTTTCCTATCTTTGGGTTCATAGATTTTGAGTGCTGAAGAGGAGCTACGAAGAAGAAGCAATGTGCAGCAGGGTACTACTACAGGGCACCAATCAATATCTCTCCAAGTGGATGTTGGGAATGACTCTGGTTCCATGAGTAGACAGGTGACTCCACGACCCGCCTCAGAAGTCAACTGTAATGGCGATACAGATGGAGCAGATGCTGATGATGGTCAAAATCAAAATCAACATTCACGCAGTTTACCAAGAATGAGTAGCGTGTCACCATCTTCAGATTCCCTTCATAGAAGGACCCCTTTTGCTATGGTAAAACATAATTTAACAAAGTATCCAGTTAGATCAACATCATTTTTTTATAAAAGGGGTGTGAATCTTTTGGAATAAATGCAGGCATCAAATCCTTCACGAACAACTTCAGGGGTAGTGACAAGTAGCCCATCAAGATTTGCTCCTACAAGCCAACAAGGTAATGGTAATGGTAATCCAACTGTATCTGTAACAGGAACAAATTACATTGCTTCATCTCCTTCACCAGCAGCCAATGGTGGTACTTCTGTATTCAGAGATGCCAGGCTTCCTAGTCCATGGAACTAAACACTTTCCCAATTTTAAAGAAACGTACAGGAGTCATTTGAAACTAGCTATTAGGTAGAGTTTGTTCATTTCATGACTTTTAGTTTGAGTTGATGTTACTAAATTTCTGCTTTGTATACCATCTTTAGAGCTTTGAAAGATTCAGATATGTTGGAGCCATATGTGCTAATAAAAGTTCTTGGGCTATTGTTTTGGGTTAAGGTTGAAATTGCAACCTACTTTTTTGTACTTTCTAATGTTGCTCCATCTAGGTGACCCGGTTTAAAAGTGACATGTTTCTTTGCTGATGTGGCATCTATGCTGTTGTATCTTGATGCCACATCAGCAAAGAATGAAACAAAATTAGAAAGTACATAGACCTAGGATGGCAATGTAAATTTTCATTTATATCATCAAGGCCAAGAAACATTTTTTTGTACTTACCATTTTGCTCGATCTTAAAAGTGATTTCTCTTTGCTGATGTGGCGTCTATGTGGCAGCATATTGTACCTCTAACATGGACATAGTTAGAAAGTACATGGACCTAGGATGTGGAATAAAAAGTTAGGTGGATTGAATGGGACAAATGAGAAAGTAAGTTGCCATTTAATGACATGGGTAGGTGGTTTTATCCAAAAACCTAATTTAGTAAATTTGGAGAACTCCAACTCAAGAATTCTATGCAATGGTGACAATATGATTTTGTGTGTGTTTTTTTTATTTAAATTTAGGGAATGATTTTTGGTGGAACTGATCATTCCATTCATTTTGGTAAGGAATGATAGATTCATCTATGTAATGGAGTTAACAATTCCTAATGAATTCGCATTCCATCTGAAAAGATTGTCAAACACTTTTGAAATTTCATTTTACCAATTTCCTTTGAATCAAACGTCATTGTGTGTATGTGTGTGGTGGTGTTTGCGTACATACATGTATGCATCAATACATGTGTTCATACATGTATGTCTTCATACGTAAGCATGTATGTATATATGCACATGTGTATGTAGGCATACATGTATGTACATACATATTTACTCTATATGTAGGGGCGGGTAATGGTGTGTGCGTATATACATGTATGAATATATGGATGTATGATTACATACACAGGGTTGGTCTTTTGTTTTCCATGACAGGGGAAAGATAAAGAGATGATGTCCATATGTTTGTATCGAACGATATATAACAAAAATTTTATTAAACATAAGTACAGTAAAAAAAATTATTTGATTAAAATTCCATATTAGTACTAGTTTACACTTACATCCTTCAAAGATAAATACATTACTAATACATTTTCACAAATTGAGAATCTACCCAAACTATCTACAATAGCAGAGCCTCAAGCAAATGATGCACTTCGTACTAACTGAAAAATAAAACGAGATATTAATAACTTCGTACTAACTGAAAAATAAAACGAGATATTAATAGTTGATTACATAAAGGCGAATCCTTATTCAAGTTTAAAATTTTTAAACGTATATCGGTATATGTTAACCAAAAAGGATGAGTAGTCTATGGAATTATGTAACTTTGAACTTCAAATCTCCAATCCAAATATCCAAATGGTCAAGTAGTCAACAGGACAGCAAGTTGCAAAATCACAGCAGTTTCAAATAGATTACTTTAAGATGAGCAACGGGTCGGACCTGGTCTGACGACCGAAAACCGATTTTCAAAAATCGGAATCGGACCCGTTTATGGTTTTCCGGTTCCCCAAACCGGGTTTCGGTACTTCAAGTGGATTATAAGTTGTTGGACTGTTTGTTGGGCTTTCTGTTTCGGTACTTACCCGAAAACCGATAAGTTAAATTTATTGGAGCTGGCCTGGTTTTAGGTAAATCCGGTTCAGTCTAGTTCAGTTTTTTTTCCGTTCCTGTCCATTTCTCTTTTCTCTGGGATCATGCGCTCATCCTAATTTTAACTATTTTTGACATTGAGAATCTTCAAAAATACAAGAAATACATAAGTTAATTAAAAAATCAAATCAATCAAATGTAAAACAATCATAAATGTATATCTACTATTTATCAAGTCGTCTCCAAGAAATTTCGATTTAGCATTCGATTTTTAA